TGTACACAACTCCAAACAATATTTATTTTATAATTCTTACTTGATAATTTACCATGATTACAAGCATTAAGAGAAATAATATGGGTTTTTTTACCCCACATAAAAAATTATGGGATAATAAACATGATAAACCCCACATTTTATTTTTAGTGAGACGTGGGTTAAAAAAACCCACGAAAAATAATATGGGCTATTTAACCCCATGGGGTGAAAAATAAACCCCATGGGGTTTTTGTGGGGTTTTTTGTGGGGTATTTTTAAGTTCATGTTTCCCCATGGGATTTTTTGTTTTGAACTCAAATATCTCAAAAACTAGCAGAAAATGTTGAATTTTTTTTTTCATAAATCAATTTGATTATAAAAACCCCACCATTTAAAAAAAAACCTAAGATGTTAGCTTTAAAGGAAAAGGGTGCGCAAGTTCGGAAAAATGTCCATTCCGAAGTTGTCCGTCCCACTGTTGTATGTTTAAGGAGTCTGAAATTTTTAAGTCAAAGACTTAATAAGTAATCGATAAGCTTTTGATTCTGATTAAATATGTAAACATTTAATTGCATCTACAGTCAAGTAAAATTGTTTTTTAGGGGAGTTAAATATTTTGCTCAAAGTACACCTTATGTTTGCATGAGAATAAAGTGTTGTCATTGTGTATTTAAATAAGAAAAAAAATGAATGTTTAGGGTTCTATCTAAATATGTATATCTGTCTTAATTTTCATTCACTCTTTCAGGTCAAGTTGTCTTTTCTCATGGTGGGCCATACCCATGAAGATGTCGACCAGATGTTTTCAAGATTGTCGGTCCATTTATCTGGGATGGCAGTGCCAACTCTTGCAAGACTACAGCAATTGGTGCAGGAGGCATACAGTCCAACCCCAACAGTTCACCACCTTGAAAATCTTTGGGATTACAGGCAGCTGGGTATTCAGGCACCTGTCCATCTGAATGGCCACAGCACTCCCCACAGCTTTAGGTTCACGAAGGTCGGAGATGATGTCGTGATGTCCTATAAGGAGTGGCCACTGAAGTCCAACAGCTACCACTCCATAGCAGTCACTGACCTAGCCAAGGCATTTGATGGGGAACCAGATCCCATTCAGCAAGTGACAGACAAAGGGGAGAGGGTGTTTGCTGCCATGGAGGAAGATCTGAGGAAATGGAGAGATGGTGGAAAGCTGAGCGATGGCCATGTGAGCTGGTGGCGGGAACATCTTGAGAGGGAGAGAAGATTTCCAATGCCAAGGATCCCAAAGGTCAGCTCCTTCGAGCCTCACTTGAGAGTCCACGAGAATCCTGTCTCACTGCCTGCTATGGAGGTCCTGGACAATCATATTTCAAATCTCAGGAAACAGTCTCAGGTTTGTTATTTGTGTTTTTTTTTTTTTAGGTTTTGTTATGTAGTTAGAGTATAAGAATAAATCAGTTCTTACATCCAGCATTTAAATATCGTTGCAAGGTAATTATTAATTTTGTAAAAATTCTTATTAAAATTTAGGAAAGAGAAAATAACTTGCACAATTATCTGGATTACATCACATATTTTCTGTAGGCAAATGCTACAGGCTTCATGGCAGAAAATGAAAAGAAACCAATTTTAATAGATTCATGTAGAGCTGATTGAAAGTTAACATCTTCATTTTATTTATTTGTTTTTTTTATTTGTAGGTCAGAGTTGTGAAGAGAAGAAGGTGAAGAGGAAGGTGAAGAGCAAGTGTGACCATGAGATGACTATTTCATTTTATGCATGAACTTCCTTTATTTTAATTCTTAGATTTGTCATTGTTGACAAAATATTAACAAAATCTGGAAAGAAAGATTTGATGTAAAAAGTCCATTTGTTTCCCTTTCACATAATGAATAGTAAAATTGGTTGTACTAAAAATAAGCCATGGTTAGTTATGTTTATATGGAAATTTATTTTTGTTCAAGTCAGTATTCCCTTCCCTGTGCCTTAGTCCTGGTGGTGAGAGTGACAACATCACATATATGTTAACTTCTCAACACTGCTTTGATTTTTGTTTTTTTTTTTCTGAGCTAGACCAAGATGAGCGATATGGTTCATAGAGCCCTAATCATTAAAAGGCAAGACTGTTGTAGATCTTAACTTATTTTTTGTCTTTTTATTTCATTAAATATTAAGATTTTTTATTGTAGATGACATGAATGTTTTATTTTCAAACTTATCATTTTGTATAGTTGAATTTTATTGTTGCTACCATGAAAACATGTGCCACATAATGATTTTTGTTTTGGTATTTAAGACTTTTGTTAAAAAAAATTTGCATGTGTTTTTGTCAATGTTCTCTGTGGTGATGTGAAATCAATTATATATTGTATGATATCAAAAATATTAAAATTCAATGTCAGAAATACTTGTGTGTTTGATTTTTTTAGGAACAATCCGTAAAAAAAGTTTGCCATCAAAACCTCCAAATAGCGAGGGAATATAGATGTTTAAATTGCTTAGGCCATGCAAAGTTAATTTCTTGGTTCTCAGGCCCTTTTTCAAGAAATATGATGAGGGAGGGAGGCATTTTTTTTTTCTTTTTTATTGCCCCCAAATTATGATGAGGCAGCCCTATACATTGTACAAAACCTTAAAAACTGATAAGGGAGGTGATTTGGTGTCTATATTTTATTGATTTAGCAGTAAACAGGGTCAATGAGGCACCCTTGGAAGAGATGAGGGAGAGCCTGAGAACCAAGAAATTAATTTTTTTGCTTATTGCATAAAGTTTTCTAGAGTCAGAAGCAGTTTGAAAGGGGGAAGCTAGGTTAAACCAACACAATAAGGTAACCCCCCAATTATCATGCCTAAATAATGACTATCTTTGCAAGTAAAGTAACAGGGCTAATTCCCCCAGTTCCAATTCTATGGAGTAAAATGTTATTTTTTGGAGTACCCTTGGTATATTGTTTATTACAAAGTCAAATTAAAGCTGGACGTCTATGACTATATAGGAAAGAGTTCTTTAGCACAGACTGTACCTAGTGTCAAACTCAAATTTTTCATAAGTAAGGAAAAGGCAATCAATCATTATTTAAATTTGAAAAAAGAAACAGATTTACAAGATTAAAAAATTGAATGCTCAATACACAAAACTGCAACGTTACATTACAACAACAAAAAAATAATAAAGCATACATTAAATTTTATCGGGTTCTGTAGTTAAAAATGACTAGAAATTGTTTTACACAAAGTCCATTCTTTTTAGGCCAGAGTTGAGCATTTAGGATTTTTATAAGTATTCTTCAGCACAATATTTTCAATTTCTTATGACATATTTACATGCTAGAAGAAATGTAATTTCCCCTTTAGCAAGCAAAAATACACTGTTTACACAATTAAAACATGTTTTATTCATTATTGTTGACTTCAACAGTACTATACTTATATTGACACTTAAAGAATTAATATATATATATATATATATATATATATATATATATATATATATATATATATATATATATATATATAACCTTGTCCTGAATTTACTTAGCATCATTTGAATACTTGAATATTTTTTAAAATTCGATCGGGTTCGAAATTCTAAAAAATGAAGACCTGTGGTTGTGGTCAGGACAGTTGCAGCATTAACTGGGAATGATTAACCGTATGGCGTATGTTATTGCTGTTATCATTGTGACAGTAACCAAAAAAAGCATCTGTTTTATGATTTTACTATTCTTAATTTGAAACAGCGCTTAGGGGGAAAAACAAAGTACTTGCTGGACTGGGCACAAAGATAAATGAAATCTAGACCAGAGGAAATTCAAACTGCTGCAACATGTAATTGTATATTAGTAATAATTAAAGATAAAGAAATAGTAAACTGATTTTCATGCAGCGGATGAAATCTGGTAGAGCATAGTTGAAACTTCCTGTACTCTCCATTTTCCTTATCATTTACTAGTACTAAGAGTCTTTTATTTTCTTGATCATAAACAGAGATGCAAAACAGTTATGAATGGTATGAACTTATGAAAACAAAATACAAATACAAACTGCAACGTTAAGGCTTATTGGAATAAAATTATACTGTGTGGTTTGTTAGGCTAATGATTATCTTAAAGTGATTACTATAATAGTGGTCATCCTATATGTTGAACTCAGCAAGTTTGTCAAAATCAAAAAGAATCACTGACCCTCCCTTAATAAGTTAAAGTGTGTTATTTGTGGGTATCATTCTTAAATACTGGCAGAAATATCTGTAGCATACATGATTTATTAATATAATAAATAGGGGGATTTATGTAATATTTTTCATTGGCAAGGCTTATTTATCCCACATTCAAGTATTGATGGGAGAAAATATCCCATACAGTGGACTTAATGGGATAAATCCTATGCATGACAGTATGGGGAGAAAATATCCCACTGATGAGTGTTCGTGGGATTTATCCCATGATTACAATTTCATGGGAGAAAAAATCTCAGATGGGAGAAAAAATCCCATCTGAGATTTTTTCTCCCATCTGAGATTTTTTCTCCCATCTGAGATTTTTTCTCCCATGGGATAATGGTGGGATAATTGGTGGGACTGAAAATCCCACCATTCTCCCATGGGATTTTGATATTTGGGACTTAATATTTCTCAAACTAGATAAGCTTGTTAGTTCAACATGAGATTATGTGCTACTGCTAGAAAATCCCACCAAGTAATATTAATGTTTTTTTGATATCGCAATTGGAAATGGTAGTAAAAAGTCCGGACTATGTCGTGTCCGGAGTTAAATGTCGCACTGTTAATAATATATTTCATCAAACTCTTAAATCTCCTTTCAAAATGTGTTGCTGTTAACAAAGAGTCACTTTTTACACCCTCAAAGTTATTTAATTTTACAGCCTCATCATATCCGACACCATATAATGACATTCCAAGTTCAGGCCAATGCAAGTCATCTGCAGATAGAGTCATGAATATTGTAGGTGGGCCTATTGTTTTAAACATTGACAAAAGATTATACAGTTGATTACGAAAATACGCAACTGTACCCCTTATGTTTTTCATGAACATATAAGAATTCTCTCTGAGTGATCAATTGTCTTGAATATTCTTAACATCAGCTGCCGTAACAGCTAAATTACTTTCACTTTTTCTCATTCTCATATTTATACTTATTTCGGACTTCAACAAAGCAACATCAACAGAAACAGCTGCATGAAGCAAGTATGTCATATTTTTTCTAAACACCCCATCTTTATTGTACAGTCTATGCTTAAAGTACATGGCCCGTGGAATGTTCAGTGGTCGTTTAAAGCGAAACCCATGTAATCCTCGTGGGAAAAGCCATGGAAAAGCCCTCTCTTCACCAAAATCTATTTCGTATACATGGACAGGACTATCATTAATTTTTGGTACAACTAAAGTACTCTTAGAATAACAATCTGTTATGTTAATATCTGGTACAGAGATATTCAATGGCGTAAGTGAACAGGTCTCAAAATTATCTAGCAAATGTGAGGATTCATTGGCACTGGTTGAATTGTGAAAAGTATTGCTCATGTTTATTTTGACGTCAGAGTACAGAGGATTATTTTCTTTCAACCACATCAGAGCTCTTCTAACTTTCGAAGGATTTACAAATATCTTGAAATCATTTGCAGCAGCATACCCATGCTCATATAAATAATGAACAACCAGTAAACTTTCATTATCTATGTTATTTGGTAGTTGAGAGGCTATAGATTGTACGTTTGTTGGTAAATTTAGTACAAGACCCTTTTCACAGAACTGTCCTCCAGGTAATATTATAATGGTCATAAAAACCTGAATTAATGATACGAGTCTTTTTTCTACTTTTGAAAGACATGCTAATTCATGAGGAATATTTCCTACATCAAGAAAATTTTCTTTTGAGCACAAGTAAGGCATCTGTTTCTTAACAATTTGTGAATGGCAAAACTGACACAAATCATCATTGTTTGTAAACACTGATGACATTACTTGAGTTTCACCCTTTATATGGAATACCTGATCACTAAATAAAATTCTGTCACAACTTCTACATGCAAAACAGGGTGTTTTTCTAATGTTTATTTCGTACTCCTTGTTGTGATTTTCATCACTTAAAAAATCAATGGTAGTATCATTTACCACAGTTATAAAATCAGACACCAATGGGTTGCTCATGGGATAATTTATATGGTCTTGTAACAAAAAATTTTAAAAAATGTACGAAAAATTTGTGTCATCTTTGGAGTAATTAAGATTGTCATGAATTTGACCAATTACACTTTTTTTTTCTTCTTTTTCGTCTGGTTTGTTTACATTTCTTTTCACTATCTTGTGGTTTACTATAGGAATGAAATGTTCTGAGGAAATTCTCACCGTTTTCATGCACTTTATTAGAAGATTTTGACAGATTTATTCCATTACCATTACATTTTTGTTGGCAAGGTTTAGTCTGGTTAAATTTTTTTCTTTTGTTCATGCTTTTTGAACTTGTATCACTGTGCATGTTGGATGTTGGCCATGGCAAATAAACTGGTGTTATTTCATACAAACTATTGATGTAAATGCTAAAAACATAATCTACAAATTCATCAATGCAATCAAAACTCAAAATGACAGGATTACCGTTGGGGTCAGGAAAGCCATTCTCGTTTCTTTGGTGAGAATCAAAAACATATACCATGCTACTTTCATAACTGTAGTATACAGCCACTGTACTTTCTCCAAATGTCACAATTTGGTAAGATGAAATACTTATGGCATTTAAAAAAGCATCTACAAACGATGACTGTCCAGCATCCAAATTCAAAAGACCGTTTACAGGGCCATAAAACCTATCAAAATGGTATTCAATATCACCAGGTAATTGTTCATTCCAATCTTGCAAATAAGTAGGCAAATCACGGTGTGATAAATAACCCCTCTGACCACTTGTTTGTGTAACGTGACGATACAAATCCGTGCCGTTTATTATAACCTGATCAAGATCACTGGGCCTGATGTTTGAGAGATTTGGCATGTGTTGCATGAACATAAACAAACCTAACAGTGCAATTGCAGTGCACTGAAGACCATTAAAGGGTTGCAGAAAACCGCAACCCTGATGAAAATTGCCAAATAGATGTCTTACCATTTTCGTCTCTGTAACATGTGCTCCGTCTTCTTCGCTGTTTTGATTTGGTGTGATGTTTGGCGGGAAAATGTTTGGCATGTTGTAAAGCCCGTTCTCGCTTGGAAGCGCATTAATTGTCCAAATGTCCCTTGTCTTTTTTAGGAAATTAAAATTTCAAAACATTTCAAACATTATCACCTGAGTAATATAAATATATACATCATTTATTTCTGATGAAATTTATTCCTTTTGAATAGAAAAACTACTTATCGATTGTATAGAAACCTGTCTTTGCTTTAGACAATGCCAAAAACTTGCGAAAGATCTCCGCACTTCAGGAATTAGCCAATCAGTATTCGCAGATATATTATGTAAACCATTAACCCCATTGATTGTTGTTGATTTTAATTCTAATATAATTTCAGATATATGTTGTTGTTTTTTTAAATCTTAAAAAACATTGACATTCTTTAATACTTTTATTTGTTTTAGCTCCGCAGAAACGCACAGGTACTTAAAACTTTCATATCATATAACCGACCGCCTCCTGGCGGCCGGTAATAAACACTACTGAAATGTTTATACCAT